ACCTTACAACAACTGTGCTATTTGAACAAAATATATTCATACACACAAGCAGATAAACAATTTTCAGAATTTGTCTCAAAAAAAAAAAAAGGTTATTTGTGGGCAAATATGTAGGCTCTGAAATAAAATGATCCCCGCTATATATTTATTCAAATTGGTGTATACCTATTTTCAAGAGTATGCAAAGAAAATTTCTGGGAAAAGTCACAAGAAAATTATTGACAGCAATTATCTCATTTTACTTTTAAAACTATTATATTTTTTTTTCTCCTTTACTATATACATTTAGTACTTTTCCAGTTATAGAGAGAGTTCTGGTGGCCTAGACTTGGGGCAGTTTTGCTGCCAACCCAAAGAGACGCAGTTCGAACTGACCAGTCTCCCAGATGGCCAGCCTCCTCCCATGTGATTTATAAACTCAGAAACTCGCTAGAGGGTGAAGAATGAGTTGCTTTCGACTCTCCAATGAAATGAAACTTTCCCTCCCATGAGAGCAGGAGGAGGTTGCAGGAGGTGGACGAAGGCGGGGCTTCAGGCAGCCCACGCCCCCTCCTCCAGCCTGCACCGCCCAGCATCCTGGCTCCACCCGCCTCCCCAGGACACAGGTGGGCGGGCCTTCCCGATGGCCCCGCCCCGCACCCGAGCGGTTGTCCTGGCAGCGGGCTGTGCGTGGCCTCAGCTCACAATTGGCTCTGTCCGCGCAGCGCCCCCGCCCACCTTCTGAGCTCACCTGGCCGCCGGGCCACGCGCGGACACGGGCCCATGGACAGGCACGCGCCCTCGTCTGCAGCCCGGCGCGTCGGTTCGCCTGCCCTACCCAGGGGGACTTCACGCACGCCGGGGCGCCCGCTCCCAGGCTCGGGGAGGCGCCGGGGAACCGAGGTGCAGGCCTCGCACGCTGTCCCCGCAGGTCCAGAGGTATCCCAGCCCCGAGGTCCTGGCTCCTGAGCGCCCTGATGAGTAGGAGGTGAGCTGGCTTCTTTGATCGTAGTTACCCCTATTTTCCCCTTAAAACGGGTACTCTCTCCGTCCTTTTCCATTGGCCTGGTGCTAAGAAGCTGCACTGCAATCCCCAAAGCGGCTCCACAGGAGAAAGATGGGCAATCTCCTCCCATGCGATTAAATTGTTTTTGATGCTGTAAATAGCACAGGAGATTGTCCATCCTTCTTCTCCCAAGGAGTAGCTGATGGATTTGAACTGTGTGCCTCTGAGTCGGTAGCACAACTCCTTAAGGACTAGGGCACCAGAGCTTCCTAGTTTGTGCAGATATTGACCCAGGGGAGGGAAGATGCCAAGAAACAACAGATGCCCCTCTTCAAGTCCTCCTACTCCACCAGTCTTGTCTTTATCCCTCCTCTAGAAAGCTGCTTGGTCTCACAAACTGTTTGATGAGCTTTAGGGACCTGTCCCCAGAGAGGGATAATTCACCCTGGTACGTGTATACCTACAGACTCAATGTTTATAGAGGCTCCTATGCACGGACATCAGTTTAAAAATTCTGTTCTAGTCCACCATCCAACCCACATTGTCCATACAAATAAAGACATAGAGTGTGCCAAGGTGTCCCTGGGTCATGTTGGGGGAAAGTACAGCGACACATATATGTGATGATTCTCACCAGGATGGGTTACCTGACACCGGGGAAGAGGAGTTTAGACTAGTGGGAAAACTTTTCTTCTTTCATGGTGCAGAGGGTGAGATGTTGAGTGATGCTAACCAACCTTGTCTACCCACAGCACAGGGGGTGGGGGGAGGGGGGTTGGCTTTTGAGAGGGATGCAGTTGAACCAACCCATGGTGGATGAACTAATCATGGCAACATGATTAGACAACACCAAATTCCATAAAGTCTTTGTTGGAGTGGATGCTTTGATAATTCTCTGACTATTGTTGCTGTTAGGTGCCATCAAGCCAACTAGGACTCATAGCAACCCTATGAGCAATAGATCTGAACCTTGCCCTATCCTGTGGCACCCTCATCATCTCTGATATTCTTGAGCCCACTGTTACAGTCACTGTGTCAGTTCAGCTCACTGTGTGTGGGTCTTCCTCTCTTTCACTGACTTTTCCAAGCATGCTGTTCTTTTCCAAGGACCATCTCCTCCTAACAACATTCAGTATTTGGAGAACATTCAATTTCCTGATTAGTCTCTATCAAGTAAGGGACACGCAGTTTGAATCTGCCAGTCGTTCAATAGGAGAATGGACATCATATACAATTTACTGCCTCTGAGAACTCACTGGAGGGTCAGCTAGGAGTCATTTCTGCATTGATGTGTATTCTACATGAGATTCATTCAGCACCTTGGATATATATTCTTTCATTCTTCATGATCCCTGGAAAGTTTTCTTCTAGTAACACTTCCATAATTTTTTAAGTGCCCCCCCCCTTTACTTCTTCCTGTTATGTAATTCCAGTTTTGAGCGTGTTATTCCTCTTTATGGTTTTCAACATTATTCTTGGGCTCTCTTCTTTTCCTTTCCTTCTGGATTCTGATTTTTGCTCTAGCAGAACAGTGCTAAGAGCTCTGTCTTCTATTTCACTGATTCTGTGTTCCATCTCTTCAATTCTATTCTTCTATCTCTCCAACATGTTGATAGTGTCAGAGACTTTGATTTTAATGTTTAAGATTGCTATTTCTTGTTCTTCTAGTGCCTTGGGCTTTTTTATCTGCTCTGTCTTGTATTGCTTTTTAAAAGTTTCTCTTGGATTTTTGCTTGTAGATTTCTCCAATTCTTTGACTTTTTCTTTCACCCACTGAAAGTACTTGATCATTATGCATTTGAAGTCTTTGTCAGGAAGTTCAATTGACTTTCCACCTTTAGCAAATCCACGGATTCTGTCTTTTGATAACATCTGGGAGGTGATATCTTGCTTTGGTTTTGTGTTGCATGTAAGGTAGTCAGCTTCTTGCATGACGTTGCTGTGATAGAGTTTTGTGTCTGGGGACCTCACAGGTCCTGGGTCTGGTGACGTTGGCTGGGGAAATCACTGCTTCAGTGGGAGAGAAGGCAATTCACCTTTTCTGAAGACCTTTCTGGTCCCTGATATCACTGGAAATTCACCTTTGTTGGGGAGCTCAACACTCCCGAGGAAGGGGAGAGCAACTCACTCTGCTTGAAGACCTCTCTGGCCCCTGGGCTTGCTGATGAGTCTACCTCTAATCCTGATGCCACACTTCTCATAGAGCTCAGCCTCTCCGATAACCTATTCCGCATATAGATTGAAAAGATATAGAGATAGGACACATCCTTGACACACACCCTCCCAGTATTGAACCATGCAATGTTTCCGCACTCTGTTCTGAAGACTGCCTCATGGTCCAAGTGTAAGTTTCACATAAACACAATCAAATCAAGTGTTCTGGGATTCTCAAAGTCAGCCACAGTTTGTGTGATCCGCACAATCAAATGCCTTTGCATAGTCAATGAAACACAGACATTCCTCTGGTACTCTCTGCTTTCAGCCAAGATCCATCTGACATTAGCTGTAATATCCCTAGTGCCACTGCCTCTTCTAAATCCAGCCTACACTTCAGGCAGTTCTCTGTTGATGTGCTGTTCCAGTCATTTTTGGATGATCTTCAGCAGAATCTTGCTTGCATATGATATCAATGATATTGTTCAATAATTTCCACACTCTGTCAGATCATCTTCCTTTAGAATGGGAACAAATATAGATTTCTTCCAGTCAGTAGGCTAGGTGGTTATCCTCAGAATTTCTTGGCACAACTTGGTGAGCACATTAAGGGTAGCATAAACTAGTATTAAAAAAGTCAACTTGGGGGGAGCTCTGGTGGCCTAGTGGCAAGGAGCTGCAACTACAATCCCAGAGGCACACAGTTCGAATCCACCAGATGCTCTGCCGGGAAAAGGAGGGACAATCTCCTCCTGTACCAGTCAGATAGGATTTGACGGTACACTCACGCAAAAATTAAAAAAAAAAGTCAACTTGGAGAGAAGAAAGCGAGGGAGAGGGCGTAAATTGTGCAACAATGAATGAATGAAAATCTTAACTTTTCTGTAAACTTTTGTTAAAATAATAATTAAAATTAAAAAATTATTTTTAAAAAATACCTCTCCAGAGTATTATAGAACAACATTGTCAGTCTAAAGACTAAGGTGTGCCTGATATAGGACTTGGTTTTCACAATTGCTTGCTATGCATCTGAGAACTGGACAGTGACTGAAGATGACAGGAGAAAAATTCATGCCTTTGAGTTGCAGTACTGGAGAGTATTAAGCACACCATGGACCACCAAGGGAACAAACAGGTCTGTTCTAGAGAGGGTAAAGTGAAATTACTCCTTGGAGGCACAGATTTTGAAATTCCATTTCACATACTTTGGACAATTTGCCAGGAGGGACCAGTCCCTGTAGAAGGGCATCATGCTCAGAAAGGTAGAAGGTCAGCACAGGACAGAAAGACCGTGGATGAGATGCATTGCTACAGTGACTGTGGCAATAAGGGCAGGTGTGTCAGAGATAGTTCCAGGATAGGGCAGAGTTCAGAGCCATTGCTCAGAGGGTCTACTAAACAGTACGTAACAACAAATTTAATTCTACTTTTCAGATATTAGCCACAATCAATTAAGGAAAGAATCTTTGATAAAAAAGAGTTTTCTTCTTAGATTAAAGAAATACTCAAAACATTAGCCTTCATTTTCAGAGGCACAAATAAAGAAATATGATTGGCCAAACATTAATGATACCCCCTCACCCATCACACACCATACGTTCCTGGGGAGCCTGGTGCGAAGCCATTCCTAGATGACCTGCTTCTGAGTTGGGATTTGGTACGTAGCAGAGCTGCTCCCTTGCTTCGATCTATTGAAAATCACCCCTGAACCCCAAGACTTTGTAAAATTTAAAAAAAAACCAACCAAACAAATCATGAATTATAAAGTTAACTTTGAGTCCTGTGTTTTCTTTCTTTTTCTTTTTCTCCTTTCGTAGCTTCTGTTTTGGTCAAGGAAGCATTTTCAAGAAGGTGATCGAGTATGGCTTTGGCAGATAAGAGACTTGAGAACTTACAGATCTACAAAGTTCTTCAGTGTGTGCTGAAAAAAGACAAGAAGCAGATAGAGAAGTTGATCAAGCTCGGATACCCTGCATTGATCAATTTCACCGAGCCTGTCAATGGCCACAGTGCTCTGCACTTAGCCTCAGTGTCCAACGACATTGATATGGTCAGCTTTCTTCTTGACCTTGGAGCTCACCCCGATGTGCAGGACCGAATGGGCTGTACTCCCACAATGAGGGCTGCCGAGCTGGGCCATGAACTCTCAGTGGAAATATTAGCCAAAGCAAAGGCAGACATGACTTTAGTAGATAATGAAGGAAAAGGTAAAACTCTCAGCATTCTATCTGAATGAATAGATCTTCCTTATTTAGCCAGATTTTCACTACTCTACCAATTTGTTTTCATAATTTGAAAATGTTGTGGGCATAACTAGAAGAATCAGTTTTGAAAGCTTTCTCCTTTAAAAATAAATCGTGTCAAGAATTAGATTGTCTATGTCTGGTATCATATCAAAATTATTCATTGTGAAATATAAAATCTTATTGAAAAGATGAGGTAGGACATGATGTCTTAGGTCTTATTCTTTTTACTTTATAGACTGCTCAGATGTTGGCTTGGAGTTCCAGAAGAATTTTGTCTTCCTTCAGTAGTATCTTGACATGTAAAGGAGTTATACTAGGAAACTTGACAAGCTCCAACTTTCTTATTATTGTTGACTACCATTAAGTTGGCCTCCAACTCCTGGTAACTCCATGGGTTACAGGCTAGAACTTCTCCGTGGGTTTTGGTAATAATCATTACAGAAAGGAGCTCCACAAGGTGGTGATTAAAATGCCTTAGCAACTCCTGTATGTTTTACATTACCAATTTGTCAGAAATCCTGGATCAGGGATTTGTCATTTTTCTTTTCAGTGGGACAACATGATCTGCCTAAATGAGATGATCCACTTGAATCCTGTGTTTCTTCTCCTTGTTGCTACAATCACCATTAACTTGTTTTTAAACATGGCTGGACTACTTATATCATCATTGTGTATCATCTCTTTTGCATCTCTGTAGTTTTACAAGGGACCCACAGACCTCTATCTCACAAAGCAAATCACATCCTGAGAAAGGGCACTTGGATAAGGACTGTAACATGCTGAATACCCAGGGTCAGCTGTGAATTGTAGATTAGAATCCAGATTCTTCTAGGGCCTGCCATCTTTGGTTATGGGAATTTGCTAATAATGTCAGTAGTGGAGTTCTTTGCTGCTTTTCTGTCTTGATGTTTTAATTGGTTTCAGATCTGCTTTTGCTCTGAGAGCTAATTATGGATTTTTAGAATTATTTTTTGGGGGGCCTAAAAGATATAACTACATCAAGATTTTCTAATTCAGTGCCCTCTGGGGATTGTGTTTTTGGCAGGAATTTTGTTTTACTGTGTTTTGCCCACTAAGCGACACTATCGCTGTGCTCTGATTGCCCTTGAACATGGTGCAGATGTCAACAATGTTACCTACGACGGAATTCCAGTATTTCTCAAAGCTTGTGAAGAAGCTCACGATGTTAAAGATATGTGCTTGACATTTTTGGAAAAAGGAGCCAACCCAAATGCTGTCAACTCAGTACGACTATTCCTGTGATTATAAATGTTCCTTTCCCCCCCATTGTAGAATCTTAATAGTATAATTTTGCATTAAAATATAGCAAAATTACTTTATTAACTGATAGACTATTCATTTCTATTCAAAATGATTTAAGATAATATGCTTTAATTATCATCTTATTGCCATTATGCTACAGTCTACTTTCTAATTATGTTGGAAAGATTAGTATTTATTATGCATACTATTAAAGTATAATTATAAGAAATCATAAAAAGCAGAACTGATGGTGAATTAAAATATATTTTCTGTATGAAGTACAACTCTGTTTTTCTCTACTCATTTTTTTTCTCTCTACTCCTCATTTAGCTAATTTTACTGGGTTTCTTTTTCTTCTAATTGCCACTTCTAGATAATTTCTACAAATCTGCACCAAAATGTAGATTTCGTTCTAATTAGAAAACACCTCTAATCTCATTTTAGCATCTTTTCTCCCTTTTTGCTCTACTCGCTTGGTGAGAAATATCCATTTTGGTATGTTTGTCTCAGAAAGAAAGGCACCCTGTGTGACCTTGACTCTGACTTTAGAGTGCTACATTTTGACTGTTGACTCATTGTGTTACTGTGCACCATCAAGTCAGAACAGACCCATAGTTCACCCTCTGATGATGAGTACATGGGAGGAGATTGCCCATCCTTCTCCTTTGGAGCACCTGGTGTCCTTGAACTTTGAGCCTTCAGGATTGCAGAGCAGCTTCTTGCCACTGGGCCACCAGAGCTCCCTTTATACTTCCTTAGTTTTTTCCAATTGTTACGTGAAACTAGTGCCAAGAGGAAAAGCATGTTTTCTGTCTCTTTCAAACTGAGTGGATTCAGAACTGTCAAGAATTTTAAACTTGGCAGCACCAGTGTTACTTACTAGGCCCATCATGTAGACCTGGGATGACCATTGATAACATATGGTATGTTTGCTCTCCAGTCCACAGGCCGGACAGCTTTGATGGAGGCAGCACGAGAAGGAGTGCTGACACTAGTCCGAGAGATTCTAGAAAGAGGAGGTGATGTGAATGCGTACGACAATGAAAGACATCATGCTGCACATTTTGCGGCCAAAGGAGGATATTTCGATGTAATTATATGCTCTTTGCTTTGAAATATATTGCTAAAAATATTCTCTTTTTTCCTCCCTCAAATTCTTATATATCATATGTTGTTGTTGTTACTGTTATGTGCTTTCAAGTTGCTTGTGACTCGTAGCGACCCTGTGTACAACAGCCCTAAACCCTACTCTATCCTGTGCCAATCACTTGATAGCTCTGCCTCAGTTTCCCTGTTCGTCTACGTGTGTTCTGTTGTACATAGGGTTTTCAGAGGCCTGCTATTTCAGAAGTGGGTGGCCAGTCCTTCTTCCTAGTCTGTCTTTATGAATGCTCAGATTCAGAATAGTATCTGACAGACAAGCATAGGTTATATAAAGACAAGATTTTTTTTCTTTCTGAGTGACCTCTATGACTCCCCCCAGTAATTCTAAAATATTATTCTATACCAAATTTTATTGAAAAGGTCCCAATTGTTTATTTCTAACTTACATTAATTAATTGAGCTGTGCTGCAGTTCTGAAACCATGCAGTTCAAAGTCCCAGCTGCTCTGCGGATAAACGATGGGCAGTCTTCTCCCCTACGATTTACGGCCTCTGAAAATCCGACCTGATGGGACTCAACAACAACAATAACAATAACAACAATAATTACTAACATGGTTCAAATCCACCAGCTGCTTCATGGGAGAATAACTCCTTCCCTGCAGTTTACTGCCTCTGAAAATCTGTTGGAGCTATGAGTTGGTTCCCACTTAATGGTACTCAACAACAGCTGAATGTTAACATGACTCGCATCCACCAGCTGCTCTGCGGGAGAAGGATGAGAAATCTCCTTCCATGCAGTTACTGTTTCTGGAAACCTGCTGGAGGGTCAGCTATGGGTCATTTCTGATGCAACATTAATTTATTGTTACCCATATGATTTCTCTATGTACTTAACTATTGTGACAACATAAAGATTTCTGCCAATTGAAATGGTCATATACTTCCATCATATGTAGTTGTTATTCTGTACAGTCAAGTCAGAACTGACTCATAGCTGATCCTCCAGTGGGTTTTCAGAGGCGGTAAATCTCACAAGAGACGATTATCTCTCTTTCTCCCATGTAGAAGTTGGTGGTTTTGAACAATGTGCCTTGGGATTGGCAGCAAAACTCCTTAGAAATAAGCCATCAGAACTCCCTTGTCATGTTACGGTCTTTGAAATTTTATGTGATCCAACTGTAATTAGAATGGTGTCTACATTCTTCCTGCTGCTGGTACGCACCTATTGATTCATCTGACTTTTAAACACAAGGTTCTCTGGTGGACATATCAACAGAGGATATCTGTTAGATAACAGTGATGTACAAAAATAAAATGAAAAAAAGTACTGTATTTTTTATATTCTGAATCTCATTTAAAATAATTTTATTCTTTATGTTCTTAAGGTTTTTGCACAATTGTCTTTACTTATGGCTTTAGGCCATTTTTATGCCATTAAATTATCTGTTAAAATTGAAGCCACATTTGGTAAAGGACTTGTCCCACTGGTGGATGTATGCAGTGTTCTGACATGCTCTTCGATTGCCTGGCTTTACCCAAGTGAGAGCACCCGTGCTGGGTGCCACTGTTTACTCTTTTCCCTATACAGACAGGACACCTGGAAGGGAATTAGGTTAAGTAGCTCTGCCGCTAACCAAAAAGTTATCAGCCCCTCCGCGGGAGAAATATATGACAGTCCGCTTCTAGAAAGGTTACAGTCTTGGAAATCCAATGGGGCATTTCCACTCCATCCTATAGAATCACTGTGGGTTGGTATTGACTCAGCTGTCCTGTATCTTTGTTTTACTTGTCTTCCAACTCTGTGATAGGACTTAACTGTAATTCTAGACATGTCCTATATCTGCATGGTTTGAATGTGGTGGCCAGAAGACACGTGTAGCTTTTGAGCGCATTAATTGTGGTTAGTGACTCTAAGGGAGTGAATGGCCTAAACTTTTTTCAATGTTGTTGTTGTTGTTGTTGATTGCCATCGAGTCGAGCATGACTCATAGCGACCCTATAAACAAAAGACCTCATGTCTTTCCATAACTACTGTCATTTCTCCAAGTTCATAGAGTTTCCAGAGGCACGTGGTTTAGGAGGTGGATGGCACTCCTACTTTCAAACCTGTTTTACCACTGTGAGCTCCACCAAACACTGTCCACATTGGGAAACCATTCTGGTATTTGATACCCTAATGGTACAAGGTTCAGCATCACAGCAAACCCAGGTTACTTCATACTGCACGTTGACAAAGAGTGATGTGCAAAGTGGAAGAGTGTTCCTCCAGATATAACAACATTAATTTCATTTAGCAGTGGTTAAGTGTCATCAAGTCAAATACATCTGAAAGTAAGTTTTGCACAAAAGACCTGAACTCTTTTCTATAACTAACATCATTTCTGTACAGAACTCTGTTCTATAACTAATATCATTTCTGTACTTTTATAGAGTTTAGAGAGTTTGTAGAGTTTAGAGAATTTGTAGAGTTTCCAAAGGCATCTGATGTAGGAAGTGGATGCCACTCCTGCTTTCCAGCATAAAGCAATCAGGAAGCTCATCCAAACACTGTAAATAATGAGTAGCCATTATAATATTTGACAAGACTATGGAACAGTGTGCAGCATCACAGCAACACCAAGTTGTTCAGTTCAGCAAGTAGACAAAAGGTTGCTGTATCTTTCAAGGAATATTCATTAAAAAATTTATAACTTTGGCCCGAGGGCCATAAATTTAAATTTGAAATAGCTGCATGTCTAAAAGCTGATGTCTTTGTCTTGAAAGGCTAGGGACCCATCTGCATCCAATTAATGTTGACCAACGCCTTTTCTGTGCACTGCCTGCTATTTCATTTGCAGATACTGAAGCTTCTTTTTACCTACGATGGAAACATGGGGCTGATCGCGATGAATGGGAACACCCCCCTTCATTATGCTGCTATGGGAGGCTTTGCAGACTGCTGTAAATATATAGCTCAGCGAGGTAAAGCTCCTTGGTAATTGTGTCCTTGAAGCATGGTTCATTTACCCACAAGATAGAAGGCAGAGAATCTGGGACTGGAGCTCATCAGTAGCATATCTTTTTCAGTAGACAACTGAACTGTTCTAATACATGTAAAAAGTAGAATTTTTTCTCTTAAAATATGAATCTAGTCCTAAAAGTAACAAAAACTCATTTCTCAAAATATCATTAGGTTCTTTTTGAAATCTAAAAGGGAGTATTCATGAGACCACCAAATATTTAAATAGTTATAGTTCATTACCCTCATAATTTTAAAAGTACCAGCATCAACATAAAGAAAAACTAGCATAGAAAGTCACCCATATTTTGGCCGAAACCTATCATTATTTTACCTACAGAAGTGATTTATTGTGTTAAACACAAAAAATTGCTCTTCTAGGTAGCGTGAAATTATGAGAATTGTTCGAGGAAGACATAAAAATTTTAATGAAAATTTCAAATGTCAGCAGTTTTTTAATACCATCCAATAAAAACTTATATTCTATCACTTTATTAGTCGAGGAATACACTATGGAATATAGTTTCTTGTATTGTTGAAGATGATCTTATTAGCTAGTCACATGTTAAGATACAGATATGTTAGCTTGTTGCTGTTGTTGTTATGTGCCATCGAGTCACTTGCGACTCATAGCAACTCTATGTACAACATCCCTAAACTCTGCTCTATCCTGTGCCAATCACACCATCTCCAATACACCCATCCTGATTACCCCAGTCACTGAATCAATCCACCTCATAGGGGGCATTCCCCTCCTGTGCTGTCCCTCTACCCTCCCAACCATGATGTCCTTCTCCAAGGACCTGTCCCTCCTTGCAACATGTCCAAAGTATGTTAGACGGAGCCTTAGAATCCTTGCCTCCAACGAGCAGCCTGGTTTGACCCTTTCCAGGATGAATCCGTTTGTTTTCCTAGCAGTCCATTGTACCCTCAATACTCTTCTCCAACACCACAGCTCAAAGGCATCAATTCTCCTTCTAGCCTCCTTAGTCATTGTCCAACTCTCTGATACATAACAAGTGAGAGCAAAGACCATGGCCTGTATCAGACGCACCTTAGTCTCCAAAGAGACACCATTGCTATGTTAGCTTAGTATTTATTAATTATAAGCTACTTGAATACACTTTGAAAAGCTTTACCTCTTTGTCAGATAAAAAGACCTGCATTCAGAAGAATAGCTCACACTTTTTATTTGTTTTTTCAGATTGTGAGAAACAGGTAAAAACTTAGTATAAAAAGTTCTCAAGATAAAAGAAACGGTATTATTTTTTGTGATTCATTCAGATACAGACCTATAGAAGTCACTGTTGTTGTGAGATGCTGTCTGCCCAATTCTGAGTCTTTGTGTTCCTTTGTACAAGAGATCCAAAAGCCTTGCCTGAACCTGCACCATTCTCAGAATCTTTGTTATGTTCTAGTACACTGTGGTTGTCACTGTGTCAGTCTTTCTCATTGTCCAACCTACACAGACACGTGAAGCAATTGAAAATAACATGGCTTATGACAGATGCGCCTAGTCTTTAAACTGATATTCGTGCTCTTGAGCACTACAAAGAGGTCCTTGACAGCACATTTGTCCAATACAACATGTCCTGAGATTTATTGACTGAATCTAAGGGAAATTACTTCCTTGACAACTTCAGTCTTCTCTCCCTTTATCATGATGTTACCAGTTGGTCATGCTGTTACCAGTTGGTCATGCTGTGAAGATTTTGTTTTACTTGATGTTGAGATGTAATTCATAATGAAGGCTGCAGTCTTTGATCTTCAAGCCCTCTTCACTTTCAGCAAGCAAGACTGTATCATTAGACTATTGAGTTGTTGATGAGCCTTCCTCCAATCTTAATGCCACATTATAATTTGTATAATCCAGCTTCTCAGTTTATTTGCTCAGTGTCCATGTTGGATAGGATTGGTGAAAGGACACCATTCTTGATTTGAAATCATGCAGTGCCTCTTTGTCTGTTTGATCAACTATTTCTTTGTACATGTACAGTTTCCCTATGATCACAACTTAGTATTGATGAATTCCCATTCTTCTCAGTGTTACTCATAATGTATTTTGACCCACAGAGTCAAATGCCTTTTCATAGTCAATCATATACAAATAAATATCTCTCTGGTATTCTCTGCTTTGAGATAAGATCCCAACTACATCAAACAATGATGTTCCTTGTTCCACAGCCTCTTCTGAAATGAGCTTGCATTTCTGGTTCTTCGCTCTCAATGTTCTGCTTCAGCCTTTTTAAATCTTCAACAAGATTTTACTTGTGTGTACGCTATTCATCTTATTATTTAATAGCATCTTCATTCTGTTGGATCAGAATTGTGCTGTTAACTCAAAGGCTGTGCCTCTGGCAGATCAAATCCACCAGCAGCTCAGTGAGGGGAAAGATGGGACATCTCCTCCTGTGTGATTTACATCCTTGGAAACCGAGTGAAGGGTCAGCTATGGGTCAGTTCCTACTTGATGACAGTAAGAGGAAAGTGAATCCTAAATATGAAAACAATCTGCCACGTTTGACATAAACTTATTTAACTTTCAAATTCTCACTTGTTTCTTTATGGTACAACAATCACCAAACATATACACTGTTTTACAAAGTCTTAAAATGACTACCTCCAATCCTGAAGTCACATTCTCAGATTGAGCAAGTTTGGAGAAAGGTTACAACCCAGACACACACTTTTCCTGATTTTGAACCATGCACAGAACACTTGAACATGAACAGAACCCTTTTGCTTTCCTTACTGCTGGTGTTAAGAGTGTTGATTGTGGAGCTGAGCAAGCTGTAACTTAACAACCTCAATCTCTTCTCATCTATCTCGGTGCTGCCAATTGGCCCAGTGGTGAGAATCTTTGTCTTCTTGATATTGAGCTTTAATCCATATTAAAGACTGCTATCCTTGATCTTCTGCAGCAAGCGTTTCAGGTCTTCAGTTTCAGCAAGCAAGGTTGTGTCATCTGCGTAATAAAGGTTTTTGATTAGTCTTCCTCCAATCCTGATGCCACATTCCTCATCATTAAACCTTGCTTCCCTAATGATCTGTTCTGCATATAGATTGAAAAGATAAGGGAAAAAGGATGCATCCCTGATTTTGAACCATGCAGTGTTTTCCTGTTCTGTTCTGATAAGAGTATTATTGTAATCAGTTGTCTACAGACTTTGGTTACTGTTTGGGTGGTTTTTGTTGTTAAGTGCCATCGAGTTGCGACCCTATGAACGAAAGACCTAAACACTGTTCATGGAGTTTGCAGAGGCAAGCCATTTCGGAAATGGATGCTACTTTTACTTCCAAGCTTGTTTTAATCGGGACACTCCACCAAACACTGTCCACCATGGGTGACCATTATCACATTTAACACATGAATGTCACTGTGTTTAGCATCACAGCAACCACAAGTTACCTCTGTAGAGCAATGCACAGACCAGTACCTGCCTTTTTTAATTGTATGATGTTGGCAGAGCAATAGAAGCACCTTCTAGGTTGGAAACACCAGAGGGTGGCATTATAGTCTGGCTCATTTATATACATGTGGTGCATTTTTAACATCACTAAGATCCTTATTTAACCTGTATAACACTAAATAGATTCTTTTATGTACTCAGAAAAGTGTATTTCTTTGGAGACATTGCAGATGATGTTTGTCTCACATTGTTGACTGAGGGACCAGAAAGTAAAATGATTATTTAATGTCTAATTTCCACACAAAAATAATACTGGAAACCTCTCAGGTTTGTTTGCCAAAGAACTTTCCCCTCTGTTAGTGTTGCTTATGTGACCTTGACACAAAGCAGCAAATAAATCTTATTGAGTTCATGGATAATACAGAGAAAATGTAATTCAAGACAGCATAAGCTTGCAGTCATTGTTCAGAAAGACATGGTC